CACACACACACACACACACACACACCCTTAGGCACATACACACAGACAAAGATACCCCATCATGTTTGACATCCAAACACCAACCAGCCCTGCTTGAAGTGCAGGAAGTAATGTAAACACATGTTAAACTTATTATCAAATGAGGTTCAAATCAAAGGACAGAAAGAAAATAGGAATATTTATGTAAAGTAGCATCATGGAAAAATGTTCTTTCATTCAATAAAAATAATTATTTACAAAAATCCAATTTTTTTAATGCATACACTTTCTTTGGCTTTTAAATATTTCTAGTTAACCATTAGACCAAATATATGAAGTCTAAACCTTTTCTTAGTCATTGGAGCCAAGTTTCGTCTTTTCTGTTTGTTTCTGTGTTTATGTCTCTTAAATATACAATGGATCCTATTATCATGGTAACAGAGGACATGAGAGCGATCTCGGTCCTGCTGAGAGGCTCTTCTCCAACCCGGGGTTTGAACTGCGCTCATTTGCATTCTGATTTTACATTGACGTGAGTGGAAGTTGTTTGTGAGCAGAGCTGAGAATGACAGTCTCAAGTGGCTCCGACCGTAAAGTCGTCTCTTCCACGCAGATGGTTAGTCTGAACAGCCTCTAGCGAGCCATGTACTCGTTTAAAGGCTCCTCTCGTCATGTTCAGTGGGCGTTCAGTGGTCTCGAATATTAGGCCCTACTTGTATTTCCATTAACGTCTGGCCAAATGCTATAGAATAAAACACATTTGCTTAAGGGCCACAGAAGAGCTTCTCTGCAGCCACATCTCAGGAAACATGAGCTGTAAATGACTGCACCAGGTAAAACAGTCTGGCTTTTCAAGTTGCGTAATTTAAACATCCATCCACTCTCCCCTCGGAGAAACGATCCCACAAGAGATGTAACAGACTCGACATCTGTGATTGTGCTCTCGTTGTCTTTCTCTTTTCACGTCTCGCCTGTCTTTAGTCCCCAACACAACACTCAGCGTTGTCTAATGTCCACTTTGAATCTGCGTCTTCACAGCCCCCCATCATGGCCTCCAGTCTGTCCGTGAAGAGTTTCTCCATGAGCCGCCAGCCGTCCTTCTCCAGTCGTTCCCTGATGGACATTGGCCGCGCTCGCTCCCGCGCTTCAGTGTCCTTCGCGGCGGCCAGCCCGCTGGCCCGCTCTTCCTCCATCGGCCAGGATCTCAACGGGCCGACCGGCCTCCAGCTCAATGGCCTGCACGGCAACAGCGCCAACGATAAGGAAGCCATGCAGAGTCTCAACTCCCGTCTGGCCAACTACCTGGACAAGGTGAGAGACATTACACAACCCCGCACTGTTGGGACAGTGCATGATGGGTTTATCTCTACACACCAGGAAATGATGCTATCAGCAGCAAGCAGACACACTGTGATCCTTCATCTTTCTTCTGGTCTTCCTGCAGGTGCGGTCACTGGAGCGCTCCAACGCAGACCTGGAGATTAAGATCAAGCAGCTGATGCTCGATCGAATTCCCAAAGGTCACGACCTTGATTCCATGATGGCTCAGGCTCACGCTGTTGAGCAAGAGGTAGGCACATGTTACAGCCATGTATGTCTTCATACAGACGGCCAGGTTGTTTGAAATTTTGTGAATGCAACAAAGCCCAAGGTGACTTTGGTTCATTTTACATAAATAAAACCTCCATGTAAACACTGAGTTGTTAGACAGGAGCTGGATCATTCCTTAGAGGCCAAGTTCAACTGAGTTAATATTGTACCAAGCGGATCTAAGGACAAGTTAATAATTGTTTTAGCTATTTTCACCATTTTCTATTAGTTACAGATAATGACGTTGAAATGTATGATTTTATTGAACTGATGTGTTTTAACCATCAGTAAACTCACAATATAAATAAGCTGTTTCTGTCAGTTTAGCAAACATAGTACTTCCACACACAAGCCTCGAGCACATACACTTGTTAACAGTAACTCCATGTTAATCTTTGTCAGGTGAGGAAGAAGACTCTGGAGAATGCTCGTCTCATGTTGGAGATCGATAACGCCAAACTGGCTGCTGATGACTTCAGGATCAAGTGAGTAATTAATGACCAACTGGAACTGGTTTGGGTTATTTGTCTTTTTCGATAAGACCAACTGAGTCCTTCAGACTTCAGTGATGACAGATTTATCTACTTCCTGTTGTGACAGACACGATGCACATCAACTCTGATATTTAACGATAAATATTTCTAATGTTTGATATAGTGGAATATTAGACCAATTGAAAATCCTTGGCTCCTAGTTTTTAATAAGAATAATAAAAATAATAATAAATCAAACTTTTTTTCTGTAGCAATGATGTATGTAATGTAGTTTAAGTTAAAACTTCAGGCTTTCGTCCCCACGCTCACTGTCCCGTGTTCTGTTCCCCTGCGTCGTCGAGGTGGGAGACTGAGCTGGTCATGTGTCAGTCTGTGGAGCGAGACTGCGTCGCTCTGAAAAAGGCCAAGACCGACCACGAGCAGATCATCGCCTCCCTGAGAGGAGACCTGGACAGCCTGAAAGAAGAACTTTACTTCCTGAAGAAAAACCACGAGGAGGTACATTTGTTTGTCTCTGGGTTTTTTTATCACCTTCTATAGCTACACTACCTTCGTGTCATTTGACATTTGGTCTCGTTTTCCTTTTGGCCCTCCGACCTCCAAAAAACAACAAGCCGTTTGCTATCAGACTGACCCAATTCGATGTTCTCATGAGGTCTTTTCAAGAGAGCACAGAAAAAGAGGTGTAGGGAGGTGGGGAGGAGAGAGAGAGTGGTGGTCCTCTGGTTACTACACACAAAAGCAGCAGGTGGATCTGGTTTCCTCTAACCTGCTGTCTCTGTCCAGTCAGCTGGTACAAGGCGTTCAGGCCTCTGGGGGGAGAGAGACACTCAGATAAACTTACCCCCTCCCTCTCTCTCACCAGACGAGGGACTGATCTTCCTCTTACTGAAATGAACGTGAACTGATCCAAGTCATTTAAGATGGTTGGTACACGACAATAACGTGGTTCAAACAGAGTTCCACGGTCTCAGTGTTTGTTCCATCTGATGTCGGATAGTTTCAAATTTCTATTTTACATCCAAACTATGATGTAGTGCAGATATTGAGAAGGAAATCCACCAAATAAGACTTGAGTATTCTGGCTTTTTTGAATCCTTGATAGAACAAGTACATTTCTCCTGTGTATTACTTATGTTTATGTATTTTAGATTTGTCTTATTTGACTTTATAAAGAGGTTTTGAGATGGTGGTTCAGTCTCTTGGGCAGAGTCAGTGTCTCTTCCTGCAGACGCTCTATCCTTTGAACTCTTTATCAGGCCACTAAGAATTAAATAAAGACTTTTAATCCCACTGCAACAGAGACATAAAAACTACATCACATTGTTTTCCCTCATGCTTCCCTCGAACAATTAGGGGCACAGATATATATATATATTTAAACTTAATCGTCAAACACAGGCTGAAAAATTGTGCATAAAGTGCATTAATGTCAGACAACAATTAAAATAAAGTGTCACAGAGAAGAGAGAGTGAGCCACTGAGCATGCATTAGCAGGAGTGCTGTGTGTGTGGGAGTGTGAGAGGTGGGGGGGGGGTAAGGTGAGCTCTGCTCTATCAACTATTGATGGACAACGTCTAAATAATAAAGAGGCCCTCACATCCTCTCTGCCATCCTGTGGTTTAGGATTCACAAAACTGCTCCTGCGTCCATCTGTTGCCTCTGTGCAAATAATGCACATTCATGCATATGATAAATTTAAATCAGATGAAAACCATACACACTCTGTGGCAAAGCAACACAACATACATAAACAACTTCTCCTCCTGCAGGAGCTGGAGCAGATGAAGTCTCGTATCGCCAGGGACGAGGTGAACGTGGAGGTGGACTCTGCCACCGGGCCAGAGCTGGGCACCATTCTGTCTGACCTGCGTTCCCAGTACGAGGGCATCGTGAAGAACAACAAGGAGCACGCGGATCAGTGGTACCGCAAGAAGGTGAAGGAACAATCTTCTTTTATCAACCTGCAGTCCTCTCTGTAGCATATCAGTTCAGCTTCAGTTTTTGCCAAATGGCCTGAATGAAGTCAGACAAATGTCTCACAATGGTTGTGTTATTTGGTTTGTGTGTCTTCTCCAGCTGGAGACGGTGCAGATCGAGGTGAAGGAGAGCAACGAGGCTCTGAGAGGAGCCCAGAGCGAGCTGACTGAGAGGCAGCGCTTCCTGCAGACCCTGGAGGTGGAGCTGGAGAGTCTTCACAAACAGGTGAGCTGCAGCTTTTAAAAATTAAAGGTGTCCCCATGTCCTTGTGCAAAACATAATCTGCTTTCATAACTTTTGGTTGCGCAAGAAATGATTGACGCCAACATTTGGGGAAAATCTTTGAACAAAACAACTTAGACACAAATATGTTTGTGGTGTCAGACGTCTCATGTGTAATGGTTCAAAAGTAATTGTGCAAGTAATTTCGGAAGCTGTAAAAACAAAATTGTTATCGCTGGATTTTCAGCAATAACGATTTGAAAATATTGTTATGAGTATTACCTCTTCACAAAGGCCTCATGAGTTATGGTCTTGTGTCGGAGAAAGGATGGTGTTTGAAGGATTTGTCAAACAACGACACAACAAATCCTTTCAGATGCTCAGATCCAGACTCAGTCAGACCAGTTTCTTAATTTGTGCATTTCTGTGGTATTGTATCGTGTGACCGCTTGGGAAACATCGTTTGATTTTCTCTGTCTCATAATCTTGTGTTGACAGTCAACACCTTCTCTCACGCTTCTCTCAGTCATGCAAGGACACACTGGATTCTGTTGCTAAATTGTATGGGGGTGAGTTTTGTTAATCGTGTCTGAGCAGCGAGTTTGTGTCTGTTGATGCCAAAGCCTTGTCAGGTTGCAGGTATTTGTTGATAATGGTTTGGGAAGTAATTTCAGAATCAGGACATGTGAGGTTTGGTTTCCTCTGGTAAACACAGGAGGAGGTCGATAAGCCAGAACATTTTTTTCTTTTTCTTTTGTACCAGCCAACCTGAGTCTTCACATTTGCACATTAAAGCCAATTTCTACCTCTGTGTTGACACCACAGGAGGGTGGGTTGATTGAAGCCGCAAATCCTTCGACGTGCACTTCCCAAGAAATGTAGCTGCACCTCACAATTAACTCTGACTGATCCGCTTTGTCTCGTCCATGTCTCTCAGTGGCCAGACCACAAAGAATTCTCTTTCTGTCTTAATCCATTCAACAATCATCGTCATCATCCCCTTTGTCATCTTATCTTTCTTTTTGCATTGCTTGGCTGTTGTTTAACATTTTTTAGCTCCATCTCCAACATGATCCACACGGACAAATCAATGATATAACCATCTAGTGTTTAACGACGTAAATGTAAATGCAGGACGAGTACAAATGCTCACAATGGTTGCCAGTCCTGAAACGTATAAAAGATATAATGATTATGAACAAATACATAAACTCAAAATGGTTAAATTAGACACAGGTATGCATCTTCAGCTCCATCATTATTTTCTCCTATTCTCTTCAGATTGCAGCTCTGGAGGGAAACCTGGCTGAGACCTCTCACAAATACTCTGGCGAGATGGAGCGGCTGCAGGCCACCCTGAGCCAACTGGAGGATGACCTCTCCCAGCTCAGGCTCGAAATGCAGCGCACCAAGACCGACTACGAGCAGCTCCTCCGCATCAAGCAGAACCTGGAGATGGAGATCGCCACGTACAGGCGCCTGCTGGAGGGAGAGGAAACGTGAGAAGCTTAAATGAATGATTGGGAATAAGGTTTCCTAAATAGTTTGGGCCTTGAGTAGAAGTCAATTTATAGTCAAGTTAGATCTTGAAATCTGGGAATAGAAAAAATAGAAGAAGCCAAAGAACTTAGGCGATCATACAACCTATCATCAGGCCGTCCATTGTAAACATCCATCATGGTTTACAAATCTGACTTACAGTAGCTATAATAATACAATAGCTACTTTCAGCTGCCCTTTAGCTTAGCTTAGCATAAAGACTGGAACCTAAACTCTGCATGAAACCAAAACTTTAGTTTTGTTTTTATACCTCTGTTAAGCTACAAATTACACAAATGAGTACGACATTCAGTTACATCGGGACCATTCGGACAGAGCCTTGTTCAATATTGTTTATCTAACTCTGAAGGAAAGTGAATAAACCTATTTCACATCATGTTGAACCGAACATATGAATGTGTTACTCTTGTATTCAGGTCCAAATTAATTCTATGTTTTCTTTCTGCCCCTCAGAGTCAAAGAGCTTCCTCCTCCACCGAAAAGTGAGTTCTCGCCTCCCATTTTGTTTTTACAGTGAATCACTGAAACATAAAGATACCCAATCACAGTTATATGTAATGTATTATATAAAAGTACAATACAGCAGTATGGCAGCAATGGTCATTTATTAATCTTGAATACATCTTATCACAGCCTGAAAGAAACAGCAGGGAGGTGAAGAGTGAGTAAAGCTGAAATGATGAACAAGTTGTTCACAAATGTTTATTTAATGGCTGTTGTGTAAAGATTCAAGACCTTATATGGACTCAGGTGTGAGTTTGAGATGACGTTTCCACACGCACACATGACGCCCCAGACTGATGACAGTTAAATGAATTTCCACAGAATGAAATCACCACCATCAGCTCCGTTCCAACAGGGTGTGAAAGCCATTATCGCAGTGTTGTAACTGGGACTCAGTCCGACTGACTCACTCTGCAGGATAAACAAACCGCTGTGTTCATCTTTGAACGACACCATAAGAAAAACCACAGACCAAACAGACTTAGAGATGGTGACGTCTTCATGAGACAATAAAAGTTGAATGGTTGAATAAATAATACAAATAATAAGTGTTTCAATGCGAACTACAGGAATGTGAAATTAAAATGATGTAAAATATCTCATCTAATTAAACATTTAACTCAAAATGTTTTATTTATCTTCATATATCTCAATATGTTTTATTTGGTCCCATATGATCCCATCCTCTCAATTCTAAAACTTTTTTTGTCTTCTCCTCTCAAATCTCATATCATTTGACTTTTCTCCTCAATCTCATTTTAAATCATTTCTTCTCTCTCAATCTTAGTTTACTCATGCTCATGTGTGTAAATCTCATATAATTTCACTTTTCTGATTTCATGTATCTCATATCCACTATATATTGTCATATGTTATTTTATATCAACCCACTCTAAAAATATCTATCTATCTTCTATCATCTCACCTCACCTCCTCTCCTTTTCTCCCCTCTCCTCTCCTCTCATCTCTCTGTGCAGAGGAGCCTGATGTTCGCACCAGGAAGATCGTGAAGGTGGTGACTCAGACGATGATCAACGGGAAAGTGGTGGATGAATCCAGCGAGGTGGAGCAGATCGAGGAGACCAAGAAATAGAATAAACAACAGAAAGTAGCAGGAACGACAGAGATCTGGAAAAAAAAAATGTAGGTTTACAGATGAGGCATCTACAGAAAGAATACTGTTTTGAATAGGGAATTTTATGGAATGCATTACTCTACTATGAATGTTTTTGACAAAGAGGTTGTGACAGTAACAACCAAAGTGATTTCTGGAGAAAGGTACAACTATAAATAAACATGCTCCGTATTACTCTATCTCCTGTAGAGCTTTACATGCCTAAAGTCTGATTGGGAGAGAGGAACCAGCGCTACATCTTCATGCTGTTTCACTTATAACATGTTGTCTACTTACAATATATTTATTTCTTAGTGTGGTGAAGTTTACTATAGTGAATTTAATACAAGAACATCATTTAATCGTCTTTGCTGTTTCTGTGTTTGTACCATGTCTGAATAAAACGTTCCATTAATCCATCACATGTTTACTTATTTATTATTGAGTCACTCAAAATAAATGTTTCATGACTTTTGGACTGAATTCAACAAACAGTTATTTAATGAGATGTTGTGGTGGCATAAAAAGCAAACGTTGTAGAACACCACAGAAGTACTGAACACACAGCGGTCATAAATCTGTTATAACGCAGGAGTGTTTCAAGGGATTTGGGGGCCTCAGGCAAAAGGGCCAAGGGGGGCCATACATCAATCCTTATAATTAGTCCTGCTGGTGTTAATATGTCAAAACAATCAACATCTTCTGAGGTGAGGTGTAAAGTAATATCTCTGTGAGTCAATGATACTTCTGAGACAACTAATAATGAGTAATCATGAGTAATCATGAGGTAAAGACAGTTAATTGAGTTAATTGAGCTGCAGACAGATAAAGGTTGAACTAATTTTGAGTAATTTGAGGCTTGTTTTCTCTGCTCTGATAATCCCTTAATGATTTTGTCCTACCTGAGCACACACTTTGTCTTTCATGACATATGAACTCCTCCATCAGCCCTATAATTTAGGGTCACAACCTTTTGGAGTGAGGTCACCGTGATTCAAATAGTCAGAAGTCACAAGAAGAGGTGAAACGTTAATGAACTGACGAAACAAAGAAAAGTCTTCACATGGAATAGCCCATGAACATTCAGGATGGTAGTCGTCCTTGTCCCAAATTTTCAGGATGTTTCTAAAAATCTATCATTATTCTTCACACAAAATAAGAAGTTCTCTCACTGAGCAAACAATTTGAACAAAATTACCTCTTCAGAGGAGGTATCCGCAGTTTCCAAATAGTTCTTTTTATTTACAGAGCAAACAAGACGAACAGAGGACCAGCAAAGTACACAAGAGGAAGATATCAACAGACTACCTGAGATCACAAGTTAAATAAACAGCACATCACATATGCCAGGGTTTTAAAATGCCAAAGTACAAAATGAGACTGAAAATGTGTACATTAAACAAATTTAAAAACATTTCCTGCTGTATGACTGGAGCCTTAGTTTGGATGGATGCACTAAATGTGCCTCGGGTTATTCTAATAAGTATAAAGTCAGTTTACAAAGCAGCAGACAACACAAAGGGTCATTGTTGAATGTTCGAGATGATTTGACTGCACTCTAGTGGACATACTCTGCTATAGCAAAAACAAGTTCTCAGTCATAATAATGCAGAATTTAAATGAAAGAGATAAATCAAAAAGGTCGAATCACTTCTTGTTCTATCCATTGACAGAAGAACTTTTTACGTCAAAAGTGTGACAGCAGAAAGTCAGTGGAGTTACTGAATAACACAGGGTTGTTTAAAAGTTTATGTTTTTCCTTCTTCCTTTGTTTGTCTGTTTATTTTACCTTTGGAGAATAATGTAACTCTGACATTCTCCAGAAAACGTGATTTCTGCATTGAAGCCAAACTCAGGCAGACAAATCCACTTACACTCTTACCTCATGCTTGAAGCCTGTTTACAAGAAGACAGTCTGGATCTGCAGTGGCAGTGAGACAACATCACAGCTAAACCATGAGTATCATTTCGATTTTTCATTGTGACACAGGTTCTTATTTCATGTTGACTGCTACACTTCTGATTATTTTCATAGCGAACTGATAAGTTGAATTTATATCTTTTATGCTGCAAATCCTGTTATAGTTTTTCAAATGTCCACCTGGTCTGATGATAATTTCTATAAGAGAGTCTCTGGTGAATTTTATATCTCAGTTCTCACACATGAAGCAACAATGAAAGAAAAAAAAAAACATCTTTCGAATATTGTTTGAATTTAATGATTATAAATATAATTGAAGGGGATTTGAAGCACTGAAATCATTGGACTTGTAAGTTCAATGAAAGACAAATGCCTATGGTGCTGATTTGAAGTTCAAGCATGCGTAAATAAAACAGTTAAAAGTCAAGATTGACACTTTGTAAATTAGATTTTTCTTTTTCTGACTGTCCTTCATGAATCAGGCCACATGCAGGATTTCAGGTGCATTACATTGATTTACAGTAAAGCTCGACCATTACGGCTTCAGCCGATTGCTCTCCAGCTTGTTGCATAACACTGACAGGATTACACTCCAGCTAGAGACACAGTCTCCACCTGCCTCTCACACTCTCACTGCTTCACAGTCTCTCACTGTTTGAATTGATTCAGAGGTTGCTTTTTCTAAGAGTGACCATAGAGTCATCTTTGTAATCCAAGCTATATGTGGCCTCTCATTCAGTGTGTCACTTAATGACAATGATCATAATGATAATAATGATGATAACCTTCATTTTTATGGTTGTTTTCTTTCGTCAAAGTCCTCAACAGAAAATGAACCGTGTGTGGTACAGTATAATGTGCGACTGAAGGCCCCTGATGTGATCTTTGACCCATGGAGCGCGCTGAGTGGCCCCACACTCGAGTTAGCATGATAGGACTAAAGTCTCTAAACCTCCAGTTTAAGCCCATTATTGCTTAGTGCACATTGTGTTGGGTTTAGCTGTGTTTCCCTGAGCTCAGGAGGGATCACAGTCGATTATGTGGCCAAAGTGCAACATGTTTACAAGAACTCCTGACCACAGCTTTACTCACACGTCTTGAAGTCTGTGTGCTTCTGCAAAGACACTCGGAAATCCAATGAATGTTTAGAAAAATATTTATTTTAATTATCACATTCACCCACAACACCACAGCAATGGTGACATTTTTTCAAACAATCAAATGAAGATGAGCGATAGAGGAGGAAATGGAAAAACAAAAAGAAAAAAAGAAATCATGAAGCTGTGGTTGGACACGTTCAAATTTTTTTACTATCTTCACTTCACTTTCCTTTTTCGGATTTATTTGACTTTTACAAAACAATGAGAGAAGGCCATTCACTCCACACTCTCACATACACAACATACAGTCTCCTCTGACGTGCACTCTCTCATTCTCCCTGTTCTTGCTTTCAAGCTGGCACAACCTCCTGCTCTCCTTCCTCTCTGAGTTTCGTCTCTTCTCTCTTTAGCAGGCTCCGGACTGCAGGACAGGTTGAAACTGTCCGCTCATGCAGATGTCCTCCTGCTTCTGACGCACAGTGCGCTGGATGGCGGGGGGCAGGCCGCGTTGGTTCCTGGAAAAGATGAGGGCATAGCCATCCTCGCAGCTGCCATCTTCCTTCACAGTGCGGCAGGCATAGGTGATGGCGTAGTTATCGTAGTCTGTGTCAATCACCCAGTAGTTGTCACCTTGTAGGAGGAAGAGAAGGAGAAGTCAGATTGGGAGGGAGTGAGGGGATGTGAGAGGAGGATGTGAGGGGGCACATGTGTGCATGTAGCTGACCTCCACTGGACAGGTAGCTGGCCAGGCCCTGGTAGTTCATGAACATCTTGCCGGGGGTGGTAGGGTCAGGGACAGAGTACTGGGCAGCCATGTCAGCGCACACAACCCAGAAACTGCAACACAAAGATGGAAATACGTGTCAACAACTAACGACTGTTTTTCTATTTCACTTGAATCAGCTGAAATCCTTGTTTTCTGTTTGTTACAGTGCATTAGAGCCCACATTCCTGTTATAATCCCACTTCTCCAATTTGCATTTTCTACCTAATCCTTCATAATCCAGGGAAATGTGGACCCTGAGCACCTTCTTAACTTCTGGCCCTGAAAACTGAATATTTGAGTTGTGGTCCCATCCCCAGATCTGAAAGAGTCAAGAGGGTCTTTGTGTCTAAACTGACCCTCTACCCTCTCATGAGGGGGTTTAGGAGATGAGAGCAGCTGGTTTTGCTTCGGCTAGATTGAATTTTGTAATTTATATTCTGCAGATAAAGTCTGTTAAATCACTTGCTGCCCACTTACCCGAACAGAGTGACGCGTCCCTTGGAGGAGGCGGTCATGGAGCCGTCATCATCGATGGTGTACTCGGCTGAGATGTTGTCCTGAAGGAACAGGCCCTCTGGATCTTTCTTCTGCAGCGCGTACCACTTTCCTGCATACTGCAACAGGGAGAAGAAGGAGACAGACAGTCAGAACTTGTTTTAAAACTTTCTCAAGACACGCTGTATGTGCTGCATGTGTCTTTTTACTCGACTCACCCTCTTGGGGTCAAAGTCCTCTTTGACTGAGAAGCTGTCAACCACACAGGAGGCCGACAGGCAGCGTTCGACGCAGGACACCAGGACCAGGAGCAGGGCCAGTTTAGAGGATCCCATTCTGTGATGAACAGAGTATAGCTCTCTAATGACCAGAGGAATCATGGAATTGTTGAATTTAAATAAAACAAACTTTTCATGTTTTCCCAGTCCACTAACTGCAAATATTATAAATGCACCATCAATATATTACACCACTTCACATGACACAAACATTAAATCTTAAAAGTTACTTCAGAAATAACTTTATTTAAACAGCGGAGCAGAAATAACATGATCTCACAATTTTGAAATCACAAAACTAGAGAGTGGCACAAAAACAGAGTAAAAATTTCTTCTTACCTGTTTTGGATCAAAGTATCAACAGCAGTTAAAACTCAAGCTCTGTACGTGGTCATCCACCAGCTTGAGGCTTGTTTGTTGGACACTGCCTTTATATACACACACCACAGACGAGCTTATGGCTGAGTTTCAATGCTTGGAACTAAATAAGGTGCTTAAATCTAGAGGTAATCCTGTTGGGTTGAAATCCTTAATCTGGCTTCTATGTTCAAACTTGCCCAAGACTTATTATAAAAACACTCAGACCTTTATGTAACTGACTGGACGCACAAATAAAACAAACACACGTACACCAGAGCTGACAAATGAACTGTGTTTGCACGTGTGCAAAGTACAGGATGTGGTTGATTTGATCAAAGAGCTGGATTTTGTTATTTAATCAGTTTAACCATTTTGGAGCCTCACATGTGGTGTCAGGTAAAATTGAGCATCACAGATATTATATAGATGAAGAGATTATTTAAAAATATTAGATGCCACAATACCAATAATCCCTCATCTACATTTGAAAGTTTTTTCCAGT